ATAAGGAGCTTACATCCCAGTTGAGGAGTCAAGTACATATAAAAATATCTGGTCAAGTCAGCAAGCATTTATTAAGTACTTACTGTGTGCCAGGCACCATGCAAAGCACTGGAGCTACAATCATCTTTTTTTAAATTCTCCTATGTTATAGAAATGCTTGTTTTGTTTCATAAACTAAAAATAAAATAAATTTCAAAAAAACAAGTGGGGAATGATCATAGATCCTGAGATGCTCACAGAGTAAAGGGGCACACGACATACCAACAACTGTGTACAAACAAGATGTAATCAAGCTAAATCAGAGCTGATCTCAGAGGGAAGGCATGAAGATGAGGAAGGACTGGCAAAGGCTTCTAGGAGAAGATAGAACTTTAGTTGAGATGTGAAGGAAGCCATAAATATGGAGTTAGTAAATCCACATACATACAAGCAGTTAAATACAGGGTAGTTAGAGAGGAAGGGGGAGCACTAAAAGTTGGACAGAGGTCTAGAAAGGCTTCACCTACAAGGCAGGACCTGAGCTGAGTCTTCAAGGAAAAGATGGCCTCTAGGAGGTGGAATCATAAGACCTCCAGGAATGGGCGACCACTGGCACCTAGGCCCTTCTTGGCAATCTACTTCCACTGGTTCTGCTCTAATGCTTTTGTCCAGGCAACCCTGGGTTCTCCTACACTGGCAGAACTAAGTTTGGCAAATCCAGGGCCTCCCAAGCTGGAAAAGACTCCACCACAGCCCTGGCGACACATATTGATTGTGGGAAGACTAGTCTAGCTAGGTTTGGAGAAGTTCATCTCCAGAAAGTTACCTGGTGATAGAAATTTGTGTGTATGTGTGCCCAAGAGACTTAATAAAGGCTTATTGAATTGAATTGGTGCTAATTGAATATTCAGGCTTCTGATTTTTTTTTCCCCCACCCAAGCTAGAGGTCACTATGCTGCTCCAGCCTTCTCTATAACAGTTCTAGGATTTCCCCAAAGCACAGATTCCCAAAGGTTCTCTTACTGGCGTTCAGAGAAAGGAGACATTACTGGGGGTTATAGCAGTCAGACACAATGGACTTGAGCTAAGAATGAGGCTGATTAAGGGGTGGGGATGCAACCCATCGGGAGATGATCTAATGGCAGGAGTGATTAGACCTCTGCCGTCCCCACGGTAAGCTCACCCCCTGGCCCTCACTACCTCAAGCACCTTCCTGAGAAGGCAACCAGGCTGGGTTTTAAGTGGTTTCTGTGGTTGGGGCCAGAGGGAGGGAGGGGAAGGAGAAGTTGATACTGATCCCCAGCTATTCTTCCCTCCCCACCCCACCTACACCGGCTTGCCTGCCCCCAAGGCTGAGATCCCCCTGCCTGATAAGGGGCTCTGCACGTGGGGGATCGAAATGACTGGCTGATATCTATCTGCCTCCTTGCATAAGAGTTCGTGGGGGTGGTAAAAACCACTGCCCAGCTCTGGAGGGATCGATTCTCCTGGAAAACAGACTGAGATTGCAGCTGGAGGGAAGGGATGAGTGCCTGGAGTACTAGTGGCTGGGAAGGCTAGGGGATCTCTTTCACCGTGAAGGGGAACTCCAGCATGCCAGGCCCAAGCTTGGTAGGAAAGAGATAGGCCAGGGAGAAGGAGAAAACACCTAACTCACCCTGTCCTCTGGGCCCTGTTCCTCCCTTTCTTCCTCTACCTGCATACTGAGCATAAGCGAGGCAGAATGGGCATACCCACTCTGCCAGAATAAACTGGCCTCCCTTCTACTCCCCAGACTGTCCCTACCATACCAGCCAGTGGGAGGAGAGGGAGAGACAGCTTTGCCAATGAGAAGTAGAGTTGTTAGTGTGAGGCACCACAGGGCCCAGGCCTTGATCTCCAGAATAAGACCTCATCATGCTCTCTACCTCCTCAAAGAAAGGTGATGGACTCAAGATGCAGAATCAGACCTGCATTTCTGGACATGGTCATTTGTTCTACTTGACCATGCATATTACCCATTTTAGTTGACTTTGCATGTTACAAAGGTCTTTCTTTTCTTCTGTTTTTTTAAATCAGTGTAAAGGACAAAGGATAAATGCTTGTTAATTGAAAAAAAATAGAATAAGGCCATCAATTGTCTTGGCGTGTATACTGTGCCTCATCTGCCTGCTCCCGTTGGTTAATTTTTCCCAAAGCCTGCATTTTAAGAATCAGCCATTCTTCATTCTCTAGACTACTGTCACCGTCACCTCCCCCAACCTTTTTTTGCTCCCTTGTTGACTTGGGGAGGGGAACTGGACAAAGGAGAGAAAAGGAGACAGATTCAGAGAAGCAGATGGGGAAGAGGCAAAGTTGAGTGCCTGGTGGTGGGCGGGTGAGTTCCTTTAGGCGGGAGGTCAGGACCTTCCCTTTCACAATCTGCAAGACCCGGCAGAGTCAGGCCTTCTGGTTACTGGTCTTCTGCCCAGCCTGACTCGCCAAGTTACATAAAAGGCAAGGCGCCAGAGAAGCGTGCCCTCCCAATCATGAGCTGTGCCCCACCCCTCTCCATCCTGCGTAGCCTGCCCATTTGCCCCTAAGGAGAAGAGTCAATCAGGGTTGGACGAATCAACCCCAAGGCCCCTCCCCTTCTATGTCAAACCTGTTGGTTTGTAACAGATGCACACCCTGACTATCCCTAGCAGAAAGTCATCATAATTCACAAAGATAAAAACTGAGAGTGAACCTGGGTCATTGTGAGCACTGAATTCTTACTCATATTTTAAAGCAGTGTGTAGCAGAAACAGGTCTGGATTCAAATTCTAGCTCTGGCATTTACAAGTTGTGTGACCTTGGGCCAGTCATTCATTAAAATGGGGGCGCTATTACCTATACTACTTACCCACTTCAGAGGTTGTTATGAAAAAGGTAACGCCAAGTTATTACACAACTTTGAATTATATTTTGGTCAAGACCTTTCGATTTCATCAATGTGGGGGAAAGCCTAGTATGGAAATTCCCTCCAGTGGCCAATAATAGCTAATATTTATATAGAATTTTAAGATTTACAAAACACTTTCTATTACATAATCTCACATATAAGGCAGTTGACATTATTGATCCCCATTTTCTAGGTGAGGAAACTGAGGCACACAGAGGTTAAGTGACCTGCCCAGGGTCACACAGCTATCAAGTACCTGAGGCAGGTTTTGAACTCAGATGTTTTCTGAGTCCCAGGCCAGGCTCTATCCATTATGCCAAGCTGGCTCTAACAACAAATGGAGATCAGCGACTCAATCCTAATGTATAGTCTTGCAGAGTTGCCTAGGGTGCTGAGAGGTAGAATACCCTCCCTGCTCATGACCACCTTGGTTATAAGAGTCAGAAGCAGAGCTTGAACCCAGGTCTTCCTGACTCCAAGGCCAGCCCTCTATCCCCAGTGACACATTACCTCTCAATCCCCATTCCAGCCACAGTGTTATTATTACTATTATTATCTCCATTCTTCCCACCTCCTTTGATGGGATTCATATAGAAACAGTTTGGGATCAAGTTACTCTCCTCCTCTTATGTTTAATGTTCTATATTCTATGACATAGGAGAGTAAAATCATTGTTTCATGTTTCCATGAACTAGCTACATTGTTCTACTTACAGGACACTCCATCTTTCACCTCCCATCTGAGCACTATTTCCCCGTGCTTGGAATGCTCTGCCCCTCCCCCACCTCTGCCTTTTGGTTTCCTCAACTTCATTCAAGTCTCAGCTCAAAGCCTAGCTTCTATAGGAGGTCTTTCCCAGGCTTTGGCATTTACTTGGATTTTCAGATATGCCAGATTCCCCTTCTAGAATTCCCCTTCTAAATTCTCAGAGGATAAGGCCAATTAATATGTCATCTAAACGTCGTACCTTCTGTTCGATGCTCACCATGGGCACTTCATGAACACTTGTTGAATTAAATTGAATCCTTAAAGACAAGTATTAAAAAGAACACTGGACTTGAAATCAGGAGATATTTGGGTTCCAATTCTCTCTCTTATACTTCCTGTGTTGCCTCAGAAGTTACTGGACCCACCAGGTTGAAGAGGAAGGAACAATTAAGATAATATAAATGCAAAGTAAACCTTAAAAGACTATATTAATATCAACTATTAAAGAGTCGTAAATACACAGACAGTTCTGATAAAAAAAAAAAAAGGCGCTCAGGACAAAATTAATTCTCTTCCACCCGATTCCCCACTGGGAAGTTTGTCTTCATGGCTAAACTTCACTTCTCTTTGGTGCCAGAAGCAGAAATCTTGGCAGGGAAATGGGAGCAGGTCTCCATGGAAGGGAGGAACAGGGCCAGGTGGCTAGAGAACCAAAGGACAGCTGCTGCCTACTTCCTCCATGCAGGCCTCCACGTGGTAGGGAAGGGGGGGTATTGGGGTGGAAGTGTTGGGGGGGAGGCCAGAGTCACGAGGCCCTAGCGTGGCCAGGTCTTCAGCTGCTGTTTACCAGCTGGGGAGGGAGGAGGGGTGCCCAGGAGCCCTGCCCCCTCCTGTCTGGCTCCCTGCCAGCCCCAGCCTGTTGGGTAACATCGGGAGCCAGGCCCAGCTAATCAAACCCTGGGACTGGGACTGGGACAGGAGGCCACCAGGGCAGGTATTTGTTCCTGTCTCTCAGGCCTGAGAAGGGGGAGAGGGGAAGGGGTGGGGGGGTTGGATAGAGAGGGTCTCTCTAAGTCCTGGGATCTGCTGTGTGGGCCCCACTTCTTTCCTGCCCCACCCAACACCCCCAGCCCCATATTTCTCCAAGCTACCTCTCTCAGCTTTCTCCAGATCATTTGCAGAGCTCAGGACTACCTGTGTTAATTACACAGTAACTGTGCTATGTACACTCTGTATCTAGTAGGCCTTCAAGGCATGGGAGACCACGCCTGGTCTGGGTGTTGAAGGGGCAGCCTGGAGGGTCTGGGCAATATAGGGAGAGGACTTGGAGGAACTGAGGTAGGTAGGGGGTTGGAGGACAGGCCTGAGCTGCCCTGCTAGATCCCCTGTATCTCTATATCCCCCTTATCTTTTCTCATCTGTCCTCTCTATTGTCCTTCCCTCTGACATGCATCCTCTCTGTCTTTCCATTTCTCTAGTCTCTGTCCTCCCCCCTTCCCCCCGCTTGCCAGTAGTGCCAGGGTGCTCTGCCAGCCACTCCTCTCCCCTGCCTACTGCCTAGCCAGGTGCTCCCTCCCTCCTTCCCTCCCTCTCTTTCTCCCCTGGGCCCTGATCCCCACCCGGGACCAAGGACTTCCAACAAGTGAGCTGCCCCATGGACAGGGCCCCACCGAGTCACCACAAAGCCACAAGGGGTAAGACAGGGAAGGCGGAAAAGGCACAGGAGAGAAGAAGGGAAAGAAATAGGAGGACAGGTAGAGAGAAGAGAGACAGGAGGTGGAAAGAGAGGAGAAAGGGGAAAGGGGGAGAGACAGGGAAAGAGGAGAAGCAATGAGGAGAAGAGAAAGAACAGGAAGAAACAGGAGGAAGGGGAGAGAGAGAGAGAGAGAGAGAGAGAGAGAGAGAGAGAGAGAGAGAGAGAGAGAGAGAGAAAGGAAAAACAGAAGTGATAGGGGACAAGGAGAGATTAGAGATAGGAGAGAGACATAAAGGGAGAGACAAGAGAAGAGGAAAGGTAATGAGAAAAACTAGAAAGGAGAAGAAAGAGAAAAACACAAGAGGAGAGGACAGGAAATAGTGAGCTAGGAGAGAGATGGGAAAAAGAGGAATGATGAGGCAGGAAGAAATAAAGAAGACAAGAGGAGACCACCAGAAAAGGGGGGAAGACAGGAGAAAGAGACAGAAAAGGAAGGGACAGGGGACTGGGAAAGATAAGGAGAGACAAAAAGGGAAGAAGAGGAAAGGAGGAAGAGAGACAGGAGAAGGGCACAGTGAGGAGAGAGAAAGAAACAGTGCAGGGGGTGGGAATCTTGGAGCTAATGGTCAGCTAGTTTGTTGTGGGTCCCTCGATGTGTGTTTCTACACACACATAATTACTAGGGTACTATCCACACCTGGGCTCCACATCCCTGGGTCTGAGTCTCCCTTGGCATCTCCCAGTTTTCCTGGTGTTTCCCACATGGCAGTGCCCAAGCTGAGAGAGCTTGGTCCTGGTTGTAGAGGATAGTGTGTGGGGGGGTATTGGGAAGGGCATGCCCCGCTCCCTATCCTTGAGTAAGCTCACTTTTTGATGTCAGTGTGAGTACCAACCATGTAGATTTTTAATTCTAAGGGAGTAGGGGATTGTATTGACCATGAGACAATTGAGAGGCAATTTTCTGAGGATAGAGGCACCAGGGCACAAGCAGGTACACAGGTCTAACCCTGAGATTTTTGACATCTTTGTGTATGATGGACACTTTTGGCAATCTAGTGAAGTCAGAATTTAGGTTTTTAAATGCATAAAATAAAATATATAAGACTGTGAAGGAAACCCATTCTAAAAACAAATTCATGAATATCCCAAGTTAAAAACTCCTAAATCTAATACCTCAGATGCAGCACTGGTCTTGGAGTTAAAAGACCCACTGTAGTTAGTTACTAGCTGTTTGGTTTTGGGCCAAGGAAAAAGCTCCTGGGCCTCAGTTTCTTCTTGGTGGTGAAGTAGACAAGAGTGCTGAGACCTGAGTTCAAATCTAGGGTCTGCCACTTATTAGCTGTGTGACTCTGGGCAAATCATTTAACCTCTCTCTGCCTGAGTTTACTCATCTGTCAAATTGGGGATAATAATAGGAGATTGTCATGAGCATAAAATGAGTTAATATTTGCAAAGCACTTTGCAAACCTTAAAACGCTATATAAATGCTGCTATCATTAAGATTATGAGGCAAAAATGAGAGCATTGGACTCTTTAGTTCAACTCCACAAGCATTATTTATCAAGTGGTTTCTTTGTGTCTTGCCCTATGCTACGGACTGGATGATTCTTAAAATCACTTCTAGCCTTAAATCTGTGAACCTATGACTTCTGGTCCCTGCTGCTCTCTCTGTTTCCTCTCTGGTGAGCCTTACCTAGAATCAGACCCTCCCAGGGCCCTTGGTAGTCAGGCTAGCACAGATGGCAGAGTGGCCGAGCCACTTGTAAGTGTGTGTATGTGTGTGTGTGTGTGTGTGTGTATGTGTGTGTGTGTGTGTGTGGTGGAGGTTGGGCAGGAGGGAAACCTTTCCCTATGCTGGGGATGGAAAGAGGGAAGGATGTCTTTTTCTATCACTAGCCCCCAGGGCATCCGGGATATGTACAAAAGCCTGAACCCCAAGAATACTGAGTGTACCACACCAAGGAAGAAGCAAGAAAATGCTAAGGCTGGGGCTAATGCAGGTTAGGTACAAGGAGGTAGGAAGTACTCTCTTGCTCCTTCCTCCCTTCTCTCCTCCAGAAGTTGTCTCTCCCACCAACAATCTGAAGGTTTACCTGGCTGGGGTACAGGGAGAGGAAGAGGGAGGTATGCGGTCAACTTAGAGCCAAGCAGCCAGTCTCCTCCAACCTGGTGGAGCTGGAAGGACAGAGGAAATAAGATCTGTGTGGCTGGAATGAGTAGGAAGCCAAGAGTGGCTCCTCAAGTCTCGGTAGGCCTGGGGGGGCTCTAAGATGAATTGCTCAGTAACTCTTACTTCTTAACCTGTCTCCCAGATCCAGAGGTGAGTAAGGCTCCTTAGCCTACCCCTTTCCCCATTATGCATTCTATTCTACTTTGGACCCCAAACCAAAATTAGTCCTTCTCAGTGTGGTATTGTGGGTTTACTGAGTCCAACGAGATTCAGCAACAGGTTTGGTTGAGGTGATGGGGGAGGGGGGGCTAATGTATTGGGAGGTGGAGTACATTTGTGACCAGTCAGGGGAATAGGACTCTCATCTCTTGGCCCTACCTACCTTCAATGGGCCCAGAGTCCTCATAATTCTCCTTTTCTTACAGGGCCTGAAGCTGCCAAGAAGACCCATACCTGTGAGTGTACATGTGTATGTTGGGGGTGGGGGGGAGCTGGGAGATGGGGATTGAGACAGGGTCTGCTGGGGGGTAAGGGTTCCTGGACTTAGAATTCTGGAGAAATGGACAGCTTTGAACAATTGAGGTAGGGGGAAGGCAAAGATGGTAAAAGATAGGAGAAAGGCTGGAGGAGATAAAAATGACCAGGAGAGCAAGGAAGAAGGGACAATGTAGGGAAAGAGAGAATGAAGAGAAGCATTTGTTGATACTGGGAAAATGGAAAGATGGAGAAAGGAAAATGTGGGGAAAGGAAGGATGAGAAGAGAGGAAAAAGGAGAAAGTAGATGATGGGGAAATAGACCGAGAAGGACAGGAAGACATGAGCAATGGCAGATAGGGAGGATATAGGAAATCTGAGGGTAGACAGGGATGGAGGCTCAGCCTGGAACCTGGTAAGGGAGGCTGGCAAGGGGATCTAGAAGGGCTCTGCGGCCAGCCTGGGGTTTGGTGTTCATCTCTGTGGTTAACACATCCTGAGGTGTGAATGAGGAGAAAGAAGCCTGGCAGGGAGAGGGGGCTGGAGGGGAGGGGAAGAGGAAGAAGCAGGAGCTCATCCCCCCACCTGCCACGGGACACAAAGTGTTTCAATGACCAAAGTTGTCGAGGCACCTGGTATCAGTCGTAGGTAAGGAGGTTAGACCTCAGGAAGGACTTCCTCATGGCTACTGATGGGACACGCTAAAGACAAGGAAGGGACTTCATCTTCCTGGTGAATCTCTCTGCTCAGGGCAAGATTCACACCCTCCTCCTACACTGCCCCCTCACCTATTTACACACACACAAACACACATACACCTATGCACATGCACATACACACACACACACACACACACACACACACACACACACACCTTCTTTTGTGGAACTGGGACACCTGGAGAAAAGGTACAATTCCTCCCTCTTTTTTTGATAGTTACTGAATTTCCTCTTAGGCACTGCCCTGCCTCTATCCCAACCCCAAGGATGCTGGTTCCCACTAAAAGTCTTTCAGTTTCACCTCCACCCCTGGGTATCCTCCCCTAAAAGCTCCAAGGAGTATCTGAGCTCATATCTGGATAAGAATCAAATAATCCTGGGATGGGTGAGCTTTCCTTAATGTTCTGTCCCTGGGTCTTCTACCCCGACCTTCCAGATATCTCATTTCCATCCCACCTGCTGGAAGAATTGTTGGGAAGCTTTGCCTTGGGGCCAGAAGTGCCCTAGAGGACACTTCTACTTTCCTCAATTACCCTAGGGCTGAGGAGATGGGGGGAAGGGTTACAGAGAAGCCAGGGGCTAGGGATGTCTCATCCTCTTGGGTGGGGGGTTTGCTCGGCTCAGCAGAATTCTTAAGGCCTCACCCTCCCCTAGCCACAAGGCCTCACGGAAATGCTGAGCACGACCCACCCGCACAGGAGGAAAACGGGTCAGGGAGTGACGTGAGTGAATCGTGTTGAGGGGAGGAGGGGGCAAAGACAAGGGCCGGCAGTACGTGGGTGGGGGGAAGTAGGGGATTTTTGGAAGACTTGGAATGGAGAGAGATCAAAAGTCCTTCCTTCCTTTTGCTCCCTCACCCTCACACATCAATTCTGGCCAGGACCCTCCTTAGGCATCCACTCTGCCCTTCTCCATCCCAGGCCCATTGGCCGTCAGCACCCACTTTCCCTGGCCGTTGAAGGGCAGCACGTTCCAAGCAGACCTCTCTACTGAATCTCCTCTGAAGGTCTTTCTAGTCCCAGAGAATCCAGCTATCTGGCAACCTAATATAGACCTAAGGATCAGAAAGTCATTGAACCCTTCCAACAGGACCAGACTTGAGATGGAAAAGGATAGTTGAAGGTCAGATCCTTCAGGCTGAGACAAAGCTCGAAGAAAGCATTAACCTTACTTCTCCCTTTTCCTAGCCCCAGACACAGAAGTTTCTTGTCAGGAAATGAAAGGCAAGAGAGGAAGTATTGGCCATTCAAGGTGATAGAAGCTCCCCAGACCATGCTAGGCAAGTCTCAGGGATGGCACTTGGACCACTGTCCAGGGTCCAAGGGTCTAAGTTGTTTCCTCAACTCAGGGACCCCTAGGAAGATACTCCATTTACCCCTGGAAGGGTCCCACTCGGGTGGCCTGGATGACTGTGGTGATGCTAACCCAGGCCCTGGGCCCTCATTCCTAGGACGGTATCTGGCAAAGAAGGGCAATGTAGGTATTCTGAAGACAAGAAGCTAGGGATTAGGGGGTAAGGCAAGGAGGGGCCAAGCCCAGGGGTATGTAAGTCTGGCTCCTTCTCCCCCAGGCCCCTGAACCAACCATCAGATGGAAACAGCTTTTTGCTGCCTGTGGCTGTTCACATGTGGTTTTGGAATTTTCCAACGCCTGCTGTGATTGGCTGCCTTACCCAACACCCTCCCCCCCTACACACACCCCTTCCACTGCCCGGGCCCAGATTGGCCACAAGGAACGCCCATCACCCCTTCCCCACCCCTGGGGGGGCGTCCCAAAACCACCTGTGCACTGTTTAGTTTAAACCCCCCCTCCCCATTGCTGCCTGGGCAAAGTGAGGTGAGGAGAGCTGTGGATGTCGTGGGCTGCTAGTGCTGCTGACAGACTTTGTCTCCTGCTGCCCCCCCCCAGCACTACCAGTGCCAAGGTGCCCTTCAGCCTCCCCCAAGACCCACAGGTGACCTGCCAACCAGGTGGCTCAGCCATGAGAAGTAAGTGAACTGGGGCAAGGGTAGAGATATTTGCTTAGCCCAACCCAGCCCCTAGAGAAGAATGGGAAGATGTCCTGGGAGAATAGTTTGTGAGAAACTCTGTTCCTTCTGGAGCACTGTGCAGGTGGAGGTAATGGGGAAACTCACATGTGTATTACTAGGTAGATCTCTACTGATGTAGCTGTTGGCATAGCTCATTGCTGAGTATAGCTGAGTTGCAGAGCAATGGAGAAAGCAGCTGAGGGTGGCTCCAGGTGCTGAAAAATGAGGGTTAAGGAGAAAAGGGAATAGGGAATTGTAGTATCCAGGTCTTAGAAGGAAGAAAAAAATATCCATTTTACAACAAAGTAAACTGAGACAAAGTCAAGTGAGAGGGAGAATAGGAACTCAGGCCAACATGTCCTCCATATCACAGGGATGTGAGATTGACCATGAACCAGCCAGAGCAGTGCATATTCAGGTGGGTGTACTTCCGTGTTTCTGCAAGTGTGCATTTCTGGATGTAGCCAAGATGAAGTGTGGGAATTAAGAGCAACCAAATGATCTTTACCATCTTCTCAGAGTAGGGCTCATGTCCCTGATGAGCACCCATGTGAAAGGACCAATAGATAAAGGGTGTATTAGGGAGGGGACTGAGCTGGGCCAGGACAGAAAGAAAGCTCCCTCTGGGTTCATAAATGGAAGCTATAGAATACCTCATAGCACCAGTTTGGAAGAGTGAGTGCACGGGAAAAGGAAGGTCCCATGCCGCACATTCTCCCATCCCCTGTGGGCTGGAGCCAGGCAAGCGCCTAACTGTCATTTTCCATAGAGAGAGCCTGGGCCCAGTCTGGGATCCTTGGTGTCTATGAGGAGAATGGAAAAATCACTGGGTTCAGGGGAATTGTGAAGAGGATCAGGAGACCTGAGAGGTGCCACAGCCCAAGGGTTTCCCTAAAAGCCACAGAAGAAAGGACCTTGAGCAGAGATTCAAGACCCCTAAGTTCTCTTGCTGTCTCTGGGGTTCATCAGTTACCATGAACTAAGAGAGTTTAGACCTCAGTTTCCTCCTCTATAAAATCAGACGGTTGACAAAGACCTCTCAGGTCCCAGCAAGCTAACCTCCTATGAATCTGCATAACTGTGGGAAATCTTAGATGGAAGGAAAAGGATTTTTTATTGAGGAAGATTGGAACTGGATGTCCCAACAAGCTAGGTATCCCAAGGGGAATGGGGAACATAAAGATTATTGACAGATAGCTTGGGGATGAATCAAATGACAGCTCCCCAGCCATGATTGTAGAGGGAGTTAGGGTAGTGGAGGGTGGATATGAACCACCCCATCCCCCAGCTCTTCTACAGATAAGTAAAGGAATCTCCAGCAATCTGGGATTGGACACCACTGACCTGAGTCTCTCAAGTGCTATCAAGGCCCTAAGAATCCCTGGTGGAGGTAGCCAACAGCTGTTGGTTGTTTCCAATTGTTCTGATCAAAGAAGACCCCAAAGTAAAGGAGAGGTAGTCCTGGTACACAGTAGATGCTTAATAAATGTTTATTGCTTGATTGATTGAGTCAGGCAACATAGAGACTTGGAGTCCTGGAACAGAGAGAGAGAGTGAGCAAGCATCTATGATTTCTTGAGTAGAGGAAAGATATTCCCTCTGCCAACACTGGTCGTTCCTCAGTAGCTTATCAATCAATCACTAATCATTTATTAAGCACGATCTAGTGGGAGAGACAACATGCAAACAAATATAACAAAGCAAGATATATACAGAATAAATAGGAGATAATTAAAACAGAGAAGACTTCTCTTAACTAGAATTTAGAGAAGTTAGAGAAGGCTTCCTGTATAATGTAGAATTTTAGTTGGGTCTTCAAGGAAGCCAAGGAGGTCAGTAGATCCAGTAGAAGAGGGAGAGCATTCCAGGCTTAGAGAGTGACTCACCCAGAGTCACACAGCTAGTAGGTATCAGAAAAGGAACTTGACCCCAAGCTGGCTCTGAGGCCAGATCTCTATCCACTGTGCTGTATAGCCTTGCGTAGAGGGATAGAAACAAAAACCAAGAGGCAGGGAGAGCAAGAGAAGTACGTCAAGATAAAAGCAGAAAATAAGAAAAAATAGGGTTAGAGAAGAAGAAAAGAATTAAAGAATAAGATGATGTGATGATGACGACGATAGCTCGCGGCTGCACAGAGCTCATTATCTCTCCTTTAGACCTGTCCCTCCTCCAAACTTCCCCCAGACTATCAAGGCCACTGCCAACCTCTTAATCAATCACCCCCGTTTCTAA